GAGGATGCACGAAACAGTGCTACTGGTGCGGAATCAGGAAGTGTACAAGGGAGAAGAGAAACCACCAGAAATGTTCTTGCACGGAATGCATCAAAACGTATGCAATGGAACAATGGCGGAGAAGTTACGACAGAACTGTGACAGAGGATGCCACGGAAAAAGAAGAGACCCGTGTAACGGAAGATGCGAAGCATGCATGGAATGCCGGAGTACCAAAGAGCGGTACAGGTAAAGGATCCCTTAAGAAGCGTGGAAAAGCAGCAATGGGGACACCAGCAATCGTACATACGGACGGAACGCGTATGCCGATGATAAGTGAGGAAGACTACGTGCGTGGAATGGAAGCCCTGGGAAGAATTGTTTCACCGGAAACCCAGGAAGAACCGGAAAGGAAGAAGGAGCCGGAGATGATTGAGTACCGTGGAAAGTTGATCAGCGTGGAAGAGATGGGGAACAAGATGTTATCCCCAGAAGCACAGGAATCGTATGAAGAGTATTGCAGACAATGCAATCAGACGTATGAAGCGTCAGGAGAACGCTCACAAGGATCGGATATGCCGATGGATCTGTTTGGAAGCCCGAAGCAGGTAGCAGATCCCGGTACGCCAGACAGTACGGAGGAGAGAACGTTGTTCGGAATTCAGTAAGTCCTACATCGTGTACGAGTATGAGACAGAGCAGTGAGTGTAGGCAAGACTGAAAAAGTTTCACCTCGGAACACACAGCAGCGAAAGCGCAAAAGAAGGAAGAGCGCCAACGCAGGAAGTTTGTGTGGACTGTTTCACTAGGACGAAGTACTTGTTACTGTACGAAAGTCAGGACATGGAAGGTCTGACACACCTCCTTAATTGGGGGACGGTCAAAAGGTGGGTTGCACGGAGTGTTTAACCCAAGGACTTGCAATGGCCAAGCCTATGCAGTCACGGGCGGAGGTATGCCCGACCGCGGACCGATCGAAGTACAGCACAAGGACTTCGAGGCAGGGTGTTGAATTCTGTACATAGGAACGCCCCACACCTTTGGTGAGCCCAGGCTACGGTATAGTATTGTATAGTTGTATAGTATGTGACCGACGCAGCGCCTTTGGTTCAAGAGTAAAAGCGTGACTGCTCAGGGTTTTACAGTTTAACTGCATTGCAAGGTTTGAGAAGGCTTTTGGTAGAGAAGCTAAAGCTCCTGAGACCCCAGTTCCCAAAGAGTTCTTGTCGTATGAAGAGCTTCAGCTGCCTAGACCTCCTCCCCGTCCCGAGGGAGATCATCTCTTGGATTTTGAGCCGCCAGAAGCAGGTCCTGATGATCCTCTGGCTTTGCCTGCGGTGTTTCGACATCAAAAGCCTGGTGCTCTTGTGTTGTTTGAGATCGTGTCCCACTCACGGTCCAATCTGGCCAACATTGCCAAAGGATCAGGCGTTCAGGTGATTTCGATACCATGTGACCGAGTTGATCTGTCTGATCCGCTAGTCATCGATCAACTCATCATGTCATCGGCCAGGTGTCTGCTGTTCCAGGTTGCTGTCTGGTCGGCTCTCTTATAGGCGACGGTTGGGGAGCTAGGTACTCCGGGTACGCTCACTGGAAGGCTCAGCGAACTCTGCTGGGTTTTCTCCAGGTTGCTTCAGTCATCTTCTCCAATGGTGGCGAGGTTTCTCTCGAATGGCCACAAGACTCCACGTGTTGGTTGCTTCCCGAAGTTCAAGCCTTCGAGGACCAGTTCAGCCTTCGCAGAGTTTCGTTCAAGGGCTGTGCTCTAGGTATGGTTTCAACGTCTGGAGCTCCGTTTGACGCTCCGTGGCAGATCGTAACTTCGAGCAAGCGTTTGATCGAGAATTTCAAACCTTTCAAGTGCACTCATGCTTCAACTGTCAAGCATTGCTCATCGAGTACGCTTTGGCCACGGGTAGCCTTCTATCCTGAGGCATTCTACAAAGTGCTGCTCATGTCTCTGTTCCCTTTTGCCGAAGCGTTTCAAACGCCTGCGCTCCCGTGTGTTCCTGCCTTGCCACAACTCCATCGTGAAAAGGATTCTAAACCCAAGGTTCCTCTTGATGTTCTTATGCATGAGTCTGGGATGAAAGAGGTTAAGCTTCCGGGTTTAGTTCACCGTCTTCTCGATAGAAAAGAAGCAATAAAGAAAGAAAAAGATGGCCTCGTCGGTGTTGGGACATGGCTTGAAGAGGAGATAGTTTCCAAAAAGGATGTTCTTGCATGGGCCATCAGGACTTCTAATGTGATCCACTTCGGAAATTTGATGGTCATTTTATCCGTGAAAGGGTCTGAGCTGAGTCCAGATCAATGGCGACTCAAGGCAAGAATCGTCTTCAGGGGTGATGACATCCGGGACCAATCCGGCATGTCTGCTGTCTTTGAGGAGCTCTTTGCGTCATCTCCATCCTCTTTGGAAGGATTGAACACAGCGGTGGCTTTCGGTCTGCTGGAGTCCCACGGTGTGACAACCAGCGATGCAGTTCGAGCTTACACACAAGCCAAGCTCAAAACAAAGCACCGCACTTACGTTCTTCTACCTCCAGAGCTAGTCCCACCTGACAAGAAGCATATCTTCCAACCTTGTGCGCCCCTCCACAAAGCGTTGTATGGGCATCCAGAAAGCTCCGCCTACTGGCAGCAGCATCTCCACGAGATCCTAGTAAAGTTAGGCGGGGTTGAATTCCCAAATCTCCCTTCGGTTTACTTCTTCAAGTCCCTAGGATTAGTCTTATGCGTCTACGTTGACGATTTGACTTTATCTGGGCGTCGGTCGCTGCACGACGGCTTTTGGCGCTCCCTCTCCAAGGAGGTTGAGCTCGAGCCGTATGCAGCCCTGTCAAGGGTGCTTGGAAGATGCCACAGGTTCGTTTGCTGGCAAGAAATGAAAAGAAAGCGCTAGCACTTGAATCCGCAGATTTCGCAAAACAGTGCGTCCAATTGTACGAGACTGTGTGTTCGCTAACGGTTAAACCCCAGCTTACTCCTCATCTCGACATCAGCACATTACCTGCAGCAGACGACAATTGCCGCGGGCAACTTACGGAAGCCGCGGCGAAAATCTTAATGAAGGTGTTATGGCTTGCAAGGTTAAGTCGTCCTGACTTGATCGTTGCGGTCACAATGCTTGCATCACACGTCTGCAGCTGGTCCAAGAATGATGATCGTCGGGTTCATCGACTCATCGGTTACATTCTGCATTCTGTCGATTACGCAATGATCTTGTGTATCAACGATCCTCCATCTGAGTTGCGATTGTCTTTGTACTGTGACTCAGACTTCGCTGGTTGCATAGACGCTTCCCGTTCCACGAGCGGTTATGTCTTGGCAATTGAAGGCCCTTCCAGCTTTGCCTTGTTGTCGTGGTCGAGCAAGCGCCAGAAGGTTGCGTCACGGTCTAGTACCGAGGCCGAGTTTGTTTCGCTGAGCGGGGCTCTCTTTTCTGATGCTGTTCCGATGCTAGAAGTATGGGAATCACTGATCCCAGACATCCAGCTTCACGTCTATGAGGATAACCAGGTGTGTATCGCCATCGTCCGCAAAGGATTTTCGGCCAAGCTTCGGCATCTGGCCAAAACTCACCGTGTTAACGTAGCCGCCACCTGCGAACTCGTTAACCTTAATCCCAATATCTTGCTTTCTTACATCAACACTGATAGCCAGCGAGGGGATCCTCTCACTAAGATCCTTCCCCTGCAAAATGGACACGGGCCCTCGAACTGCCACCATTCGGCTTCCAGATGTGGACTGAGCATATCAAGGTATTAGGGTTTCGTAGTCAGTTGAGCTGTGCTGCGATCAACACTTCATCAAAAGTTGTGTTCGTGAGTGAATTGAGGAGCTAAGCTTCTCTTCACCTGGCTCTTTGCTGAGCATTGCGCCTGAAGATGTCGTGACGACTTCTTTTCAGTGTGTTTCTCTCTCCGTTAGGCTGCTCATGCGCCACGAGAGAAGCATCACACGGGGAATCGACGGTAGGTCAGAGCCATTGCTTCCTCGAGTTCAAATTAATCTGGAGATTGATCACCTCCATCATGCATTGTATAGTATATCAAGCTTCTACAAATCAGAAGGGGGGAGTTGAAGAATCTCGATGATCCTCCATGTAAAGTTATCTGATTATGTAGAACGATGCCAACGACCTTCGACGTTTGGCTCAAGATGAAAAGAAGCTTCGTTGAGCGCTGCTTCTGCTTTCGGGGTTGGGTTTCCTTCGGTTCCCCTGCCCTCTCTTCTCGTTCCTACCCTAACATAGTTGCTTCTGTGTTTGGGGTCGGATTAACTGGAAAGAATGCGTTCTTATTTTCTTTTTTTTCGCAGCTCGCAGCTGTGTGGCGGTCGGATCTCGGAAGGAGGAAGTGCGGCGGTGGCTCCAGGCAGAAGGCTTCGAAGAAGTCTCGACATCGCTGCCTGCAGAATTCACGGGGCAGATGCTGGTGCGCTGCACGCTGAACCGCTGTACACAGCTTTGCCGCGCCCCAAGATGGAGCGGAGGGAAGCATGGCCACAGCGAAATATGCAGCATGGACAAGAAGAGTTTTCCTAGATCCCAGTGAGTCCCACTGTGATACCTTGTCGGTGTAGGGCTCTGCGCGAGGCGGCTCCGCTGAGAAGGGTTCCGCTCTCTTCGAGCGGCTGCACGAAGCCATGGCGAAAGGTGCCGGCGCCGGCGGCCAAAGCTCCGCCGCTGGGCCCGGCGGGCCGAGTGTGAAGAGCGCCTTCGCAGACTTGAAGCGGGGCTACGTCAGCGAAACGAAAAGCGAAGAAGCGAAGAAGCCAAGCGGAGAATCGCAGAACGAATCTCGAGCTTGTGAGTACAGGCGTGGGGATCAGAATCACGATCTGGCTTGAAAGCACAGAACCCCACGGCCCGTGCCGAGCAAAGCAGCTGTGCAAGCCATCTGCATGGAAAGCTTACCCGCCAACTTGACCGGACTCAACTCGTCCTGAAGTTATTTGTCCCCGGGAGAATCTGAACAGCCTGGGCCCCAACATAGAAGACCCAGGGCCCCAGCGCCATGGCATTCGGCCCCGTCGCGGGGCGAGGACCCCTCCGTCCTGCCTGTGCCATGCCTTTGTCGGAAAGACCTTCGCGCCCTCTAGCATTTGGAGTGCAGGAGCCAAAGTTGGGATGCAAGGGCAAGGCGCCGCAGGCGCCAACCCCACCCATGAGGCCTGGCGCGGGGCCGGGGTGCCATGCAGATGCGCGGAGTCCGAGATGTGTTTTTTCAGGAGCTCGCGGAGCTTGACCTCGACCTGGCGGGGATTTCTTGTGAGAGAGGAGAGGCAGAGAGGACATGGAGTCGAGAGCGCAGGCATAGTGCGGGAGCTGTGAAGAGTGCTCTTGCTCAGCACCTGGAGCTTGCGCTGCCGCCCGCCGCCGAGCCCGAGACGGCTGCGGGAGACGGCTCGGCGAGCACGCCGAGCTCACCGCCTTCTGACGGCGGCGCCTCCTTCCGGTGCCCATCCTAACACGGTGAGACGTCGCTGACACGCCGCGCCGCCGCAGAATCGCAGAGGTCCAGCTCCGACTCCGCGTCGCCCAGGCCACGGAGAGAGAAGGGAGGAGAGAGCCGGAGAAGGGAGGAGAAAAGAGGGGAGAGCCGGGAGAGCCGGACCCAACCCAACCCACACGCCGGGAGCCTTCACCGGCGAGGAACGCTGAAGATCGCCGGGAAGACAGCCTGAGCGAGACGCGGCAGGCGCGCGTTCGGATGGGACTTGTCAGCAGGACCTATTTCAGATCCAGTTGTCATGTCACTTCGAAGTTCAGTTTGACACAAGAAAGGCTTTTTCTGGACTCCAACATGCCAAATGCAGCGGTTAATTTTCGACTTATCGTTCAGGCTACCTGGGGGAACCCGTGTTTCTGTCATATGCGTGCATTTGTACTTCTGCCACTGCCACTTCAGCTCGCATTGCGTCACTGCGAGCTGCGAAGCTGTCGGCGAAGCTGCGAGTCACCGCCCACGGCGGAGGCGCGGTTCCGCTGCTTGGCGCCGGCAGCCTCCGACCCGGCAGGATGCTTGCGGTCGCAGGCCTTGCGACCCCTCAGCGAGGGCTTCATTCGGGGCTCTTTGATGTCTTAGGAGCGAGCGCCGCATCCCTCATCTCCGCTCCTCATCGCCCGGCCCAGCGTGGCAGCCAGGGGCCCTGGGTGGTGTTTCTGAGCTGATGCGGAAATTCTCGCTTCACTTGGCGCTGAGGTTCGGAAGTACACGGAGCCGCTAGACAGGAGCCGCAGAAAAAGGGAGAGGGAGGAAGTGTTCGGGCAGCCGCTGGCCTTGCTGCAGGCGCCACAGCGTGTGTCGAGCTGCCTTGATCAGGGCCCGGGACCGAGCGGACAGAGCCTGCACTCGCCCCCTGCCGCCCTGTGCCGGCCTGTGCCGGCCTGCACTGCTGCCCTCCTTGAGGCCAACGCCTGCCGCTTCGCGGACCGCTACGACATCAGCGCCTCGGCTCTGCTTCAGCCTCCAAAAGAACAAACACCGCGTGAAAGAGCGCAGCCGCCTCCGCCGCCTCCGCCTCCGCCGCTCTTCTGAGGTGCTGAGCCCACGTTGGTCGGCCAGGCCAGGTGTCTGCGCAGCCGAGCCGCAGTGGCAGCACTCCACTCTCTAGAGACTCTCTCTCTAGAGCATTTCGTTCGTCTCTTCTGCGAGGGCACCTTCGGCAGAGTCTACGAATGTGTCGGGGGCGCCAAAGAGACCGACCGAAGCTTGAAAAAGCAGCGCCCACGACTTGCGTTCGACAGGTGGACAAGCCGGTGGCCCGGGAGCGGCTGTGAAAAGAGAAGACCACGCAGTGCCATGGCCATGGGCAGAGCGGCGGACTTGTATTCGCCGAGGCTGGCGGACATCAAGCGCGCGGCGGGGGGACCCAAGCACGCAGGGATGCGGGGACGCAGGGACGCCACGGATGTTGAGATGTCGAGGTGAAGCGCCTGCGGTTGCCCGCGGGGGCGCTGGAGCAGCGGCAGCTGGTGAACGAGGCTCGCTCCAGTTCGGAGGGCTCGGTTCAAGGCCGCAAGGCTGCTGTGGCTAACGTCTGTCCTGAGGTGGACGCTTTGATCGCCTTGGACCATCCCGCCATCGTCCGGCTCATTGAGCCGGGAGCCCGACTACGCAGCGCCGAAAAGCGGGATGCGCGGAGTCGGAGCTGCGGTATACGGGCGAGTTCAGGTACTTCGTGGCCGACGCCGAGGCGAGCCGAAGTTCGCCGAAGTTCGCAGCGGCCAAGAAGCGTGGCTTTATATAGGTGCTGCTGGTGATGGAGCTCTTGCAGGGCCCCAGCCTGGGCGAGAAGCTCCGCGCCTCGGCCCGTTGAAAGAGGGAGAGGAGAGGGGAGTGCGGCGGAGTTGCTGCGGCCGACTCTGCTCGTTTGCTCGATACCGCTCGTTGCGGCTGTTCTCCCCTCAGAGGAGAGAGAGTTTCGGTGTCTAAAAAAGAGCCTCCGCCGCCGGCTCCGCGGAGCTGCGCCGCTCTCTCCGCTCTCCGCTCTTTGCTTCTCTGCTCTGCGAGGCTCGCAGCGGGGGAAGTTCTCCGAGGCCTTCGCGGTGCGGTGCCTGCGCCACATGCTCAAGGCCGATCGATGCACAGGGCGGTGCAGGGGGCACCCCCCCTACTGCTGCTTAAAGAGGAGAGAGGAGAGGAGCTCACAGCGTTGCGCATGGCTCGCATATGGCTCGCGGCTCCCACCTTTGCTCGTGGTCTGGCCGCCAGACGCCCCCCATGCCCGCGCGCCGCGCGCGCCCTTTTAAGCGAGTCGCGTGACAATCAGCAGACTCCAACTTTCAGGAACAAGCAAATCCCCCCAAGCTTTCCAAACATTTATATAAACATTGGCAAAAAAAGTTGGGGGGGAAACTCGAGCCTGGCGATGTTTTGGAAACCTCAGATGCGAAAACAGCGCCAGGCTCCAATTTCCCCCCCAAGTTCCCAAACTCTGAACAACTACGGCCCCGCACACCTGACAGATGCCAGGATCTTGGGGATTTTGGGAGCTTGGTTCTTGGTTCCACGGGCCGGGCTGCATGAAAATTTCATTTTGCAATGCAGATTTTAATGCAGCCCGGCCGGTGCCCGTGGAACCAAGATTCAGGATTCAAGACTCCTGGGCACCTTGGTTCTTGGTTCCACGGGCCGGGCTGCATTAAAATTGAATTTTTCAATGCGGGTTTTAATGCAACCAATGCAACCGGGTCTCTGGTATAGTCATGTTCGTATACGTTAATCTTCGTATACCCTAAGGTCCATGTTGCATGTGTGTGCGTGTGTGCGCATGTGTGTGCATGTGTGTGCATGGGTAATGAAGTGTGGTATCACAGATGTAGACAGACAGGTTTGGAGGTAGGTCCTGGGCGGGGGGGGGGGGGGTACCATACATATATATATATATATATATATATATATTTGTGTGTGTATGTATCACATAATTTTGGGCCCGTTCGTTTCAACTGCTTCTTCGCCACGTAGATGTGCATGTGTGTGTGTAAATACCTATACACACATAGGTGTGTATGTGTATGTGTGTGTGCGCGCATGCGGCATGCTGACAGTTGAAAACAAAGCCCAACAAAGTCGAGTCCCGAGCCAGGATGATACAACGAGTTGGGGAGCTTACTGCCTCCGAAGCTTTCTGCACTCCTGCAAGGCATTGTTTTGCTGCCACTGCCACGGCGCAGAAGCTCAGGGCGGTCGAGGGTTCGGGAGCTTTGAAGACATGGGAGGTTCCAACGACAAGGGTCGATTTTCCGTGGCCTTGCCCAGGGATCGCCCACAACGATGTTAGCGAGGAGGGCCGGAGGGGGAAGCTGGGATAGAGTTCTGTGGCAGAACGGCAGCCTCGAGGAGAACTTCCGCTTCGAGACGTCTCGTGCCGATGCCGCCCTGCGTATGGCGGGGGGCATCTGATGTTTTTGGAAGAGCGACATGTCGCCAGCGCCAGGTGGACTTCGGCCTGAGCGAGATGAGTGCCGAGGAGCCGCGAGCCGCGAGCGAGCCATGAAACGTGCGAAGGTTCGATGCGCACCACAGGAGTCCGCCGCGAATGCGGATGGGGCTGCGACCGCACAAGCCCAAGCCGGTCACTGCCCGGTTCGGGGCCTCTACGCCCGACCCCTAATTGAATCGGCCGCTTGGTGTTCAGACTGATGTGAGCTACGCCAACAGGGTGGAGATTGAAAAGATGATGCGTGACCACGGTCAAGATGTGGGTGGCATGCGTTGTAACTCTAGACCGCTGATGGAACTAGAGTGTGTTGTGATAGTTATAAAGCCTTTGACAGGTCAATGTGCCTGTAACGCCGCAGTGAGATCCCAGAAACGTCGTCTGACTTGTCGAGTCCTTAAGTGACTAGACCGACATCACACGAAGAGCAGAGGAAGCGGAGAGTGCTGAACTTCCAAATGGAGCGCAGCAACGAGCGACGAGAGTTGGCAGGGAACCCGTGTAACGACATTGCGCACGCACGCACGCACGCACGCACGCACGCACGCACGCATGCACGCTCGCAGCTCGAAGGAGGAAAGATTCGAGCATGTTCGATGCTTCCATGTTTTTGGACGAAGACTGAAACGTCAGCTTCGGCGTCAGCTGTAGTGATTGCGGCTGACGTGGCGAATCCCGCATCCGGCCAAATGCAGGTGCAGAAGCGCGACATTTGGAGTGCATCTGGGCTGCAAGGAAGACCACGCTCACAACCAGCAGCATCCTGCAGTGCAGACTTTGCTTCAGGTCGGCACGATCTTGTATGAGATGCTCGCAGGTTGGGATGGGGGAACCGGGTGAGGCAGGCTGTGCTGCAAGTGGAGAGGAGTGGGAGCAGAGCGTCGCAGGTTCGCGGCTCTTTCCCACCACGAAGGTGCGTGCGCTCCACTTTGTATCTCCGTGTTGCATGCCGCCTTCGCCACGCGCCTGCACACGACCGCTTCGCCGCATCTTGCTATCGGCGAAGAGCTCTGGCTGGAGGTGCCTTCCGGTGGGCTGCCGGAGGCGACCAACCCGAGCTACGTCGACCTCCTCAGAGTGAAGAGCAGCGAAGAGCAGCGACGAGATGCAGAGCAGACGGAGGGCAGAAGCGGCTTCCGCTGCGCCCTCGGCGCCCTCACAGGTGCCTTCCCGGCTAAGGGCGCTGAGCAGCGCGTCGGAGCAGGAGCAGAGCACGGAGAGCATCTCTAGCCCTAGCCGACTCTAGCCGCTAGCCCGGGAGAGCTGAGAGGCTCGGGATCTGTTGGCGAAGATGTTGGAGCCCAGCACCGACCGCCGTATCGCGGCGCAGGAGGCAAAGGGAAGTGTCACAGTGCAAGCTGGCTGACTGCTTTACCTTGCAAGCCTCACAAAGTTTCTGACCAGCTGGTCTGTGAAGTGTCATAGCGTGTGCAGGTAGAGGAGTCACTTGTGACTTCCATTTTGTCTCACTTGTAACTTCTATTATGTTGTCATAAACCTCGTCTGACTTTTCGAGCTCGAGTGACAAAAAACTTCTATTATGTTGTCTCGCTTGTGACTTCTCACTTTCTGACCCTTAAAAATCTTGCATTCCCATGAGGTTTGGACTCCCTCCCTCCCTCCCTCCACATCCTGACACCAAGCAAGCCGAGGGGGTGTGTTGAAGATAGATGTTGAACCGGCACTGCCATATAGATAGGCCGCAATCGCCAAATGAGGGAGTGTGTTTAAGAATCATGTTGAGCCAGAATCGCAAAATGAGGGGCCAGTGTTTAAGATAGATGATGAAGTAGCATCGCCAAACGAGGGGCGTGTTTAAGATAGATGTTGAACCGGAGTCGACAAATGAGGGGGCGTGTTTCACGGAATTGCCGAACGAGGGGGCGTCTTCAAAGCAGATGATGACGTAGCACCGTCAAACGCCAAATGACGGGGCCTGTTTATGGTGCATGTTTCAACTGCGTAGTTTCTTTCGTACAGCAACTCGTTACTGACCTCCGGTCTTTTTGCTCAAGCGCTCAACAGGTCGAGAAACTTGCGATGGCACTTCGCGTTGCAACCTCTGCCTCTCTTACAGGATTGGCAGGCACAGCGGTGCGCGAAGGTTGGAAGCAGCTGCTAGCCAAAGCCATAGTTACCGAAGTGAGTTCACACGTGGAGCTGGCAACTGGTGAAGTGGTCGGAATTGATTCGAGTGATATTCGCATCTTTGGTCACGTATGCTGGGTAGGCGGTGGGATCCTTCTCTTGGAGTGGTCTCCCCTTATCATCAAGTGTGTGCGACTTCTGGTGGGATCTTTGATCTATATTCTTGCTTCACTTCTGGGGGTGTGGTGCTGGCTTTGTAGTGTGTCAACGTGGCTGATCACTAGCAGTCTGCGGTGTGGTAGTCTTTCGTGCTCCACCAATCGTCGAGCAGAACGTCGGGCTCTAACCTGCGACGGGATGGCATTGGTGGCAGCAGGGGCGGCTGGCCACAGCTTCCAAATAGGTTCTTTCGCTGTGGTCTCTAAATCGGGCCGTGGTCGGCAGGATTATGGTTGCGCGCTATCGGCAGTGCAAAAGGTGAATCCTCGATGCATTTATAAAACTGCTTGGAGGGTTTATGATGCCTGGGGCATGGAAGCCCCACCGAGGCAAGCACCAGCTGCGCCCTGAACTCATCACGGCTATGATACTGTGCGCTCTGCTGCTCAACCGTCCGCAGCTGGCCACGGTCATGTTGTTTTGTTATTCAGGTCTTCTACGTGTGCGTAAGCCCTCCATTTGCGATGTGGTGACGTTTTTGTATTGCCTGACTCTGTTACACTGTATTTAGGACTTACCAAACGTGGGATGGAGCAAAAGGTGGTTCTACGACATCGTCATCTCGTTGAGTGGGTTACAAATTATCTTCGCGCTTTCCTATGGGCACACAATCGTCGCCACTCTTCTCCATCTCCTACAGTTCGGTTCTGCGGTGGGTCAAAATTGCTTGCTTCGTTTTTCGGAGCCGGTGATCTCAATATTACCACGCGCAGCTTTCGGCGTTCGGGAGCTTCGGAGTTATCGCGCCAGGGCATTCCTTTGGCCGACATTCTGCTAATTGGCCGATGGCTACGGGAGCGCTCTGCGCGTGACTACATCCGTCGTGGTGAGGTGGCAGTTCTGCGAGCGTTCAACAACGACTCCACCGTTGGGGAGCACTTTACGGCCATATATGGTTTCTGTTTGATGTGCTGTATTCGGGTCGTTCTGCTAACCCGCATCTGTCCCGATTGGATCAAGTTAAGTTCGACCTTTTCGAGCGGCATGTCTTTCATTTAACCCCATAACTTATCAGTGGAGTGGAAGAGTGGGAGACAGTTTGGCAGAGCCAATCTGGCGCGCGCTGGACGCGCTCAATGAATTGTCATTGAGTGCGAGACTGTGACTTTTCATCATGCACAGGGCATCGATGCAAACAACTACCTGCATAAAAAGCTTCGGAGCACTTCGCATGCACAAGCTTCTTGCAGGGCATCTGCATTTCAACAGCTCCGCGTGATGAGTTAAGCAGTTCCTGTTAAGGGTTTAACGCGTGCTGCATCATCGGTGAAAGAAAGATATATGATGAGCCGGAATCGACAAATGAGGGGGCGTGTTTCGCGGAATCGCCGAACGAGGGGCGTCTTTAAAGCAGATGATGACGTAGCATCGCCAAACACCAAATGACGGGGCCTGTTAAGACAGTGGTGCGACCGCAACGCCCCGGACTTGGAGAAGGTTCTGCGCGTGGACTTCCGGAACGCCTTGAAACCTAGTCCGCCGCGACAGCTTGCTCTGGGAAGTCAGGGCCGTTTTCTCTGGTCTGAAGTGTTGGGCTGACTGGTGCTATGGCTCTCCGTCCACTTTTGCAGTCCTGCTGCGGAGTGCAGCAGGGCAGGGGGACCCACTAGAGCTGCTGCGCTTGCTCTCCACCCGCCGGCTCTCCGCGCTGCTGCCCGCCACCCCGTCGAGCTCTGCTTCTCCTACCTGGACGATGTGGGCCTCCCCGGTCGCTCCGACGCTGTTCGGGCAGCCTTCCGCGACCTTCAAACTGCTGCTGGCGCTGCGGGTCTGGTGGTCCAAGTGCGTCCTGGTCCTTGCAGCAGGCACCCTCAGCATCCGAAACGGTGGGCTCCGTCTCCGACAAGCCGCGCCGGCTGCCTACCTCGCGTCTGTTGGCGCCCTGGATGCCCGGGACATCGTATATCTATTCCAGGTTAGGTTGCAGCCGTGGGGCTACCTGGTCGAGTATCCTGGATCTATTCCAGGTTGCAGCGGTGGGGCTCCCTGGTCGAGTACATCGCGTATCTATTCCAGGTTGCAGCAGTGGCGCTCCCTGGTCGAGCACATCCTGTTTCTATTCCAGGTTGCAGCAGTGGGGCTCCCTGGTCCAGGACATGGTGTATCGATTCCTGGTTGCGGTGAGGCTCCCTGGCGCAGAGCAACAATGAGAGCGGATGATGGAGAATGGAGAAGCCCATGGACTCATAGATTGCACATACAGCTTGCTTGCTTGCCTGCCTGCCGTGCACGGGGCCATGACGTTTTCGGAGCTCCGTGCCCCGCTTGCGTCTTAACCCCTTCGGGGCGGAGACAACGGGGTGCCCATCCCTTTGCCGGGGGATGTCTTCTCTCTCTCTCTCTCTCTCTCTCTCTCTCTCTCGCTCAACTGTCTGTTTCTGCTTCGCGCGAGGCTGCGCGAGCCCACTTGCAGCTTTTACAACAACCCGGTGCTGGCGCTTGGCTGTCCGCCTGCCCATCCGAGGCGCTTGGACTACACTTGGAGGCCCCCTTTTTTCGGGTTCTGCATGCGGCTTCGGCTCCCCGTTGCAAGCGCCTATGGCTTTTGCCCACGCTGCGACCGAACCGTTGACCGCTTCGGGGACCATGCCCGCGTAACCGCCTCCGGGCTGTCGTCGCCGCCAGGGCCGCCTCTGCTGGCCTCAGCCCCGATGTCGAGAAGCAAAGGCTGCCGGTGCCTGTGAGACGGGCTCCTCACACGCCAGCGGCAGGCGGCCTGCCGATGTGGCCTCAAGAGCGGCTCCGTTGCCGGGGTTCCTTCTTTTCTGCTCGTCTGGCCGGGGGCGTATCCTGCGCTGCCGCGGCTTTCTTCTCTCGGGGGGTTTTTATTCCACGTGCCTCAAGGGACACGGTTTTTTCCCCCAGTCTCACTACTAGCGAGCTTACTTACACATCATATATCTTGATGAACCGGAATCGCCAAATGAGGGGGCGCGTCCAAGATATATGCTGAACCGGAGTCGCTCAATGAGGGGGCGTGTTGCATCGCCAAATGAGTGGGCGTGTTTAAGATATATCTTGAGTTGACATCGCCAAACAAGGGGGCGTGTTTAAGATATATGTTGAACCGGAATCGCCGGTCGCCAGCGAGGGGCCGTGTTGTATGTCTTGAACCGAAATCGCCAAATGAGGGGTCGCTTTTAAAATACAGGAGGAACCGGCATCGTCAAATGAGGGGGCGTGGGCGTGTGTAAGATAATATGATTAACTGATTAACCACAGTCGCCATATGAGGGGGCGTGTTTAAGATATACGATAATAAGCCGGACTCTCCAAACGAGGGGGCATGTTTCAGATTGATGATTGAGTAGCATCGCCAAATGAGGGGGTTGTGTTTAAGATATATTTCGAACCGGAATCGCCAAATGAGGGGTTCTGCTTCAGATATAAGAATAGCATCACAAGTGACTTTCGCCGACAAGGGTTGCAAATCCTTGTGTCAGCGAAGTCACAAGGCGGAGAAGTCACAAGTGATTCGAAGCTTTTTTGCCGAGACATGCTGCTAATTCGTGTGTCAGAGAGGTCACATGTGAGCCAAAATAAAAGTTACAAGTGGGCCGCCTCTCGGGCAAGGCTTGAGAAGTCACAAGTGAGCGGCCAACCCGCGTGCATGACCTGACGTTGGACCCCACGTCGTCTTACTGCTTTTGCTTTCTCGTCTTTGCTTTTCCGATAGTGTGCCCCGGGTTCCCGGCAGCATCCACCTCATATCCCCCCCAATTGTCACTACTCGCATCATCGTGCTGAAGCTCCTTCTCCCAAAGGAGGTGGGAGTTTCAGGGTTTTCAAGCCTGGTTTTCGATGCTTTTTCAGTGCAGAGTTTCCGAACCTCAGTTTTGGTCTTATGCCGCGTGTGCCGCGGTCAGTTTCAGGGCCGGTGCGCAGGAAACACATCCAATCCCAGCCATCAGGAATTACCAGTTTCCGCATGCAAAGCCGCAATACAATACACACCAACCGTCACGAGCGCACCATGTGGAACGCTCCCATTGGAAAGACGAGTGTGCACTACGAAGCATTCTTGGCTCGCACAACCTCACGCGCAGTCTCAAAACTGGCTCGTCTTTTGGTGACGGCAGCTGATTCTTGTTCTGAAACCAGCACCTCAGGCGAATGCTCATGGTTTGGTGATAGGGTGGGTTGAAAAAAGTAAGCAACCTGCTTCACGATGGGCTGCGTTAAGAGCCGTGATCAACGGCTTTCGCCATCGGGGGAGCGAGTAAACTGCTATCGTCCAGGAGGGGCCGCTTCAACCGCCATCGCCTAGTGAAGCAGATGGTGATTGACGCGGGTTTAAATGATGTGCTCCGCCGTCGTCACCTGATGAGGGGGCTATAGCAATTGTGATGAAGGGGGAGTTTTACGAATTAAGATGGCTGGCTTAAGAAAATTGCGAACTGCCATAGCCCAATCGGGAAGCGCGCTTGCAGAATGAGAGCAATCGACCAGTAATTTGATCAACCACGTTTTAAGACCCGCCTCCTCATCAAGCAATGGCCGTTGATCACACCAATTGTGACACAGGCCCCGCATTCCGCGATGTTTTTGATTACACTTCTTAATGCGGCCCCCTCTTTAGGTGCTTGCGTTTGATCACGCTACTTCTTAACCTGCCAACAAGGACGACGAACGGCGAGCGATCACGCTTGTTCAACCCGCCCGCTCATGAGGCGATGGTTGCTTTATGGCACCCTTCGCTATATGTGTTTGGCACCAAAACCGTGGTGAAGGGAGTGGGCACTTGCCTTCACCGTGTGCTTCGGGCACCAAAGCCATGGTGAAGGCAACGTGGCACCAAAGCCACGGCGAAGATAATGGCTGCGTACCTTCATCGTGTGCTTTGGGCACGCACCAAAGCATGGTGAAGGCAACGGCCGCTTGCCTTCACCGTTTTGTATTGTGCCTAAACTTTTGTGAAGACAACAGCAGAGCTCGTTCAACTGTTCTTTCGAAGTTACGAGGGAAAAATGACGGCCGCTTGGCTGCACTGTGTGCTGTTGCTACCAGCAGCGTGGTGAAGGCAACGGCCGCTTTCCTGAAACAGCTGTTTGCCTTGCATTTTTGTGCAACAAAAAAGATCAAAAAAGCATGGTGCTGTCAACGACCGCTTGCCGTCACCATGTGTGGTTGGAATCAAAACCGTGGTGAAGCCATCGCTTGCCTTCACGGTGTGTTTTTGGCACGAGGTGAAAGGAGCGCGGTTTCCTTCACCACCCATCTCGTGGTGGTTAGTGGCCTGCCGAGTGGCACGTAGCCTCCCTTCATCTTCGGTTGGGTGGCCAAAACACAGAGTTGACAGATGAGCGGCCTTTCTTCATGTCAACACCATGCATTCATTTCGCCCCTCACCGACTCTGCTGGTGAAGTGCCTTCGCCGTGTGATTTCGCGCCTATACCTAATACCATGGTGAAGCCAAATCCACTTTGATGGTGAAGCACCGTGTGTTTCGGCAGCAAAACCACGGTGATGGTCGCTTGCCTTCGCTTGAGTGTTGTTGGCGCCTTTGCCAAACCATGGTACTTGCCTTCACCGAGTGCTTGCCTTCACGGCCTCTTCAGTGGTTGTGGCGACTTCCCGTGTTCTGGCCACAACAGAGGGGTGTAGCGAGCGGCTTCCCTTCCCGTTTCGTGGATGAAAGGAGCGCATCCCCTGTTCACTTTTTTTGGGGAAAGGACCCGTGAAAGGAGCGCGACCTCCCTTCACGTCGCACGCATGGTGAAGGCGGCGGGTTGCCTTGGGCCAGGGCCGGGGACCCGGGGGCGGGACTATCCCGATGAGCACCCCCTCGCCCGCAGGCGGCTACTGTAGAGCGACAGTCCCTCTGTTTCCTCTGTTTCTGCAGGCATGCTGTTGCACTTACTTCTTGCTTGTTTCAGACTTCTTAGCCGTTCATTGTTGGCTGCTCCACCTTCTCGTCTGCAGGTTTTGTCGTCTGCTCAAGACATTGGGATGTGTCCAGTTGCGTTTGTCGCTTTACAGTAGAAGCTTCTCATTCCTTCATTGAGGCTCCTCGGTGCTACGCCTTGGCTTACAAAACCTGCGATCCACGGCCAGAAAACAAGATCCAACGATCTTTTGCTTAATGCGGGTACCGCGTAGGCAGATTCCCGCTTAACAGGGCTCTCCGCGATCTCCGGTGCTGCGCCGGTTGGCAAGGGAGCTGCTGTTTTTGATTTAGGCTGATTCGGTCGGGGGGCACTTCGGGGCTGCGGGGGACGCCGTGCCCATTTGAGTGCCGGCGCTGGCAATGCGGCGCTTCGCCCCCGGGCCCCCGGCGGGACTTTTCGCAGGGCTGCCCTGTGCTGGGCTCTGCAGGAAAGCTCCTGCTCGGCCCCGAAGCGAAGCGCGCCAAAGGGCCGCCTTGAAAGGGTTCCTTAAGCGGGCACCACCCGGGAAAAGAGAGGCGCCCCACGCAATCAGCAACGCATAGGTTCTAGAGGTCGATCCGCAAGGGTTTAGGGTTTAGGGAGAGGGAGTTAGTGTGGCTTCTTGACTGGTGCAGGCTTTGCAGCACCCCTTGGTGGTGCAGTCCTATGCCTTGGCAGCATCAGAGGCACGTCCTGACGCGTCGCCGATCGCAACTCCAAAACACCAAGAAACCTAGAGCACGGAGAGTGCTCTTCTGCCGGATTCCCTTCTTCGGAGGCCCCACTCTTCGAGGGAGCCGCGGCCGTCGGCCTCGCGTCGCTGACGAGCCGCCGAAGCCGCGGCCTTGGATCCGACGACGAGCCATGAGCGAGAGCTCTCAGCTCGCTGTCTCCGAGGGCGTCTGGCTGGCTGCGTGCCCTGTTGGGAGGGTCCCTCACATGGCAGGAAGAGTTCCGCGTATTATTTCAGGTACCCGCGCTCCGCGCCTTTGCCAAGGCCCCTCGGCTCAAGCGACTCGCCGGGGACTAAGGGCGACACCACAGAAGCAGGAGCTAAAGGAGCTGAGGGGCGGAGCCGGGCGGAGGGTGTCCAGCGCAGGCGCTGTTGGTCGCGGCCCACTTGTTGGGCGATGAGGCAGATCTCCGCGACTCCACGACGCGGTTCCGCATGGGGCTGTGCCAGGTCGGGGGCCTGCGCTGGCTTTTCCGATTCCTGGCGCGAGATGCCTGGTTGGTGGAGGACAGAGCAGACAGCAACACGAAGAGAGATGAAACGAAACGCTCTCGCCGGTTCTCATCGGGAACGTGCATCGGGCGCTGCGCCGGCGCGTCGGACGCGTCCGCACGTTTGAGCAACCCTGGACTCGTCTCCCCGAATCCTGAAGTCGCAAGTCGCTTTGCATGGCGTTCACAACCTCAACAGCGTCCTTCAAGACACCTGCAACACCTGGTGTCTACTAGAGAAGTGGTGGGAGCAGGGAGAAGCTTCGCTCTCAGACCGCCTCGCGGCCGAGGAGTCAGTCTTCGCCTCGGCCTTGTTGGAGGCCGGCGAGGAGCTTCCAAAGGACAGAGCGACAGCCGGGCCGTCGCTTCTTTTGCGAAAGTGCCACAGCGGCCATGGTCGCGTGTCGGTAATTATCACGGACCTTCCTGACAGGCAGATGGCTGACAGGGGAGCGGAGTTATGTCAGCAAAGGGTATGTATGTATATATATATATATATATGTATATATATATATATATATATATATATACAAATACATATACATATACAAATACATATACATGTACATATATATATATATGTGTATCTGCAGCACGTACTCGCAGTAAAGGCCTTTGCCGGACCACAGAGCCACCGGCAGCAGGACTTTTCGATGCTCTTCCGATGCGCTGATCTTTCAGGCAGGGGGGGTGCGGTTGCACAAGTGCAGGGCATGTCTCTTCCAGAGGTTCCCTGCAGATATCCCGTGGCGTTATGGCGTCTCACGCTGGTGCATTTCATGTCGCAGTACTCCGCTCATGCGCACGTGCACGAGCGCGCACGCTTGATGCATCTTGACGCAGCCGCGTTGATTTGAGGAGTGTCCCACTCTCCAGTTTCGGTGTCCGCTTCGCTCGTTGTCTCGGCATTCCGATCCAGGTTCTCCGTCGTGCTTCGCGTTCTCCAGCTTTTTGGAGATGTCTGGATTTCCCGGTGTGTTCAAGTGGCCGGGTGATCACTCCTGATGAAACCGTGCCACCGTCTTGCTGCCGACCTATGCGAAGATTCTGAACATGTGGGTCAAGCTCGCGGATGGGGCCAGATTGGCCAATCCGAACAAGCAGCAACCTGCACAATCTGATCAGATTTATACCACGACTCATGCTGCTGCTAAGAGATGTGCAACTGCTGAGAGCCCGTGCTGCTTCCACTCTTTGACCTCTGCAGAGGGGCGCAAAAAAACCAGTCTGTCAAATGCATCCACTCGCTTCGCATGTTGCACTAGTGACTTTGCCAACTGCCCCGCGCAGTGAGCCCAAACTTGAGTCAGACCACTGTGCGACTCAGAGGATCGAAGAGATGTCAACATACTGGTGGAGATTTACTCAAGGTAAACTGTTTGTGTTGTAAAATGTGAAAAGGAATCGTTTCCTCGACAATGCTCTTAATTGGACATATTAACTATATTAGCGAAGCTCAGTTCAGCGTCATCGTGCTGCGCAGGACGCAGGTTGGAGAGAGTCCGCCCAGGGTCGTGAAAATCTGAAAATCCCGTTTTGTAGAGTGCAGACAGTACAGACTGCAGACTGCGCGCTGAGTCTCAGTCTCAGTGCCAGAGGTGGGGTTTCCAAGCTTCGAGCTTCGGGCAAACTTTGCCTTTCGCAGGTTCGGGAGCCCTGAACTTCGTGGAGTTCATGGCCGCGATGATGGCCAACTTGCCGGAGGTCTACTGCAGCCACTCCTCTTTGAAGGCCCTGCAGGGCGTCGTGGCCATCAGAAACGTCCCTCCTCCGTCCTGCAGGCGGTCTTCCACTTCTTCGACAGCAGCGGTCATGGAATCATCCAGGGCGAGCAGCTGCACCTCCTCTTCCCCGCGAGGCGCGCGTGGCCGGGAGCGACGGAGTCCGGGCGTTGAGAGCCCGGGTCTCGGTCCTAGTCCTGAGTCCGGGCTTCGTAGAAGCGAAAGGCCGGAAGACGAGTGCGCATTGATGATCCGCCAGAGCTGCGGGAAGGACGCGACGAGACGGAATCGGCTCGCGACATCAGCGTGTTTGTTTCTTCTTGTTGAGAGGACTCGATGAGCTTCCTGGACTTCCGGCGGGTGATGACGCCCGCAAACTGGAAGGCGCCGCAGCCGCGGCACTTTTCTCACAGCTCTCGCTGCTTTGCGCATCTCTGCGCAGCCCTCCGGTTCCGCCTGCTCGCTCGCGAAGTGGGCGGAGGTTCCCGTGAAAACCTCAGAGAACGGCTGCGCCGAGCCGCTCAGCGACGCGGCCTCTTTCGCTCCGCTTGTGCTGTGAGGACGTGACGAGCCCCGTCCTGGGGCCCAAGCCCAAGCTCTTGAAGGACGCCGCCACAGCTCGCAGTGCTCGCAGTGCTCGCAGCCTGCTGGCGCAGCCTGGCGCAGGAGCCGCAGCGGTGCGGCTCCTCCTCGGATCCCGAACGGGAGTGCCAGGTGCCCTCTGTGCAGTGCCGGAGAGCCGAGTGCCGCCGAGTGCCGATTTCCGTGCCGCATGGCAGGTGACGAGCAGGGTCACCTCCACACCCTCGGAGGCGAAGATCCGTCCGTTACGATCTCTTTCAAAGTCGTGAACAAATGCCGCGACCAGCCGAGTGAAAGTCCGTGCAGGGTGGGTGGGGGGGGGTGTCGAGGCCTTCGCGATCCGTCAGAAGCCGGGCTTCCACCGCAAAGCGCCCGAGCCTCAGCTCTCACGGACTCAGCTCAGCCGCAATCGCTGCTTCCTCGCTTCGGCTCAGGCTGCGGCCGTTCTACGCGGCGCAGCCCGTCTCCAACGTGGTGCATTGCCTCGGAGACCGAGAGCTGCGGGGCCCTGCCTCGCTAGGGTCGGCTTGGTAGACGGGATTCCTTGGCGTATTGGTGGCGAAAGACACGGGAAGCACAGAGAAGTACAGCATGCTAAGATAATCGGTACGCGTACCTTTTGCACCTTTGTACATGTCTTGTACAAGCAAGTGAGGAGAGATCAACAGTGGACTGTTGCGACTCACTTTGGCTCAAGCAAAACAGGCGTCTTCAACTGGTTAACAGCCTCAGCTAAGTTGTGGTGTTAGGTAGGTAGCTTTTGCCTTTTAACGCCATAGCGCTTCCGTATCTGTCACACAGTCGTCGTAACCAGTGAGGTTGCTTGAAATCGTTCGTCGTAGGTCTAGCAAAGACCTGCCCTCCTTCATATCCCTTTCCATATCCTGCACTGTCATCTCCTGGGGTGGAGCCAAACCTTGCAGTTGAGATCGTATCCAGGCTCTGGGAGTACTAAGGTCAGTTGGGCTAGACGGGTAGACTAGTCCGTCGACTGCTCCGCCGGTGGTTTGACTTTGGTGAGGATTTGTTCCACCTTCGTCGTTTGTGGTACGGTAGGGTGAGGCCCCCTTGCAGCGGCCACTGTCGTACCAGCATACTATCCGTGAGGTCTACATCTGCTGCGCGCCTCGTTCTCTCACTGAAGCATCCGTGTGGAATCTTCTTCAAGTTTGCATCGTTTGAACCAGCCGAAATCGAAACCTCGCCCGTTCACGGACAAAGGAGGCTAGGCCTTGTGGTGCAACAGGCTTTCCGACAGGAGTGTGTTTGCGACCGCCCAGCAAGCCTCCTGAGCAACAACGACATAAAATTTCAGTGTGGCAAGGGGTCGCAGCTCTCCTTTTCTAGGAGGGCTCCTCCTTGGGGATTGGAGATTGATTAAAGTTGCTGGTTTGGGTTAGTGTGGGTGTTTCCCGTGCCTGGCTTTTGAACCGCATCTTCGGTCCTTGGTCCCAGCTGTAGACTGCCCCGGCAGCACAGCTTTGAAGAACAAGTTTCCATCAATCAACATCGAGAACGATTCGGCCCTAAGGTTCAGGGTCAAGTCAATTGCGTGTGCCTTCGATTGACCGGCTCATCCCGCACAGAGTGCCAGCCAGAGGGTCTTCTTGATTGACAGCAGTTCATCTTGTTGACTTCAGGGTGATTGAAATGGTACCGGGAAAACCGTTGACGAGGCAAGTGGCAGAGGCGTGCCTCACACAGCCAACGGGGGATTGCTGGGCGAAGCCTCCACTTGAAAGTAGTTGGGGGATTCAAGCCGCTGGATCTTTGGGTGAGCGACGCTGGTAACCTGCGCACGGCGCCGCAGTATTTGGACTGGTTGGAAGGTGGCAACGTGCCAGATCGATGTCAGGAGCTTCCGGTTTTTGTTGACACCGGGCGGGCCTTCGATTTTGCCTCGTGTTGACCCTAATAGCTCCAGTGCCCCCTACTCCTCCGCCATCAGCTCGCGGCCTGGCTGGGGTTTTAGGATCTTCAGAGGGTGAGGGTAAGGGTACGCTGCCAAGTGGGAGAAGCTTGCCTCCCCAGCCCCTTATCCCTAAAGCTAAAACCAACGTAGGTGTCGAGCCATCTCCTTCTGTTCCGCCGTCTTCTGCACCCGGCATTGGACCTTTTGTACCCTTGGGCCGTCGCACGAACGTTACATTGTCGAACCCTCTCCTGAGGGCAGCGTCAAGCGGCTCGCGCGATAGATCCCGCACTCCGGCGGTTGAGTCCAATAGATTGTGCCCGAGGACCAAAGAGTGCCCGTGGTGGTCGAGTCGCTACCCCGGGGACAAGAGATCCGGGTCCCGGGCTGTACCCCAAGGCGACGGGGTTGGACCTGTGCGCTGCGCGATTGAAGTGGCTCCCGGGTTGGACCGGTTAATCGCACCGTTATAGGATTGTGGAGTCGCTCAGCATCAGGCAGATAGCCACTATTGTCGAGCAGCAGAGAGCACAGCGAGTGCTCAGCCTGGACAGCCACAAGGTCTTGGATCGGAACATTGGATAGAGCACCCAAACCCCTCCAGCGGGTGTTCCGATCGTATCCTGACGAGAGCGTGAATCTGTTCAATTGCTGTAGTGGAGGCGACCAAAGACAACGTCAGGCGTGATTTGGAGCTCACTGTTGAAGGCCCGGATCCCGCTGAGTTTACTGGTGACATTGTGGTGACTGTGCAATCTCTTTATAGTGTCACGTCGCAGAAGACTGGCCGCGGCGGGAAGGGCGAGCGCCTGGGGCTTCTGGCTCGTCAGGCTGGAACACAAGTGCTTCACCGTGACGGCCAGGATCCGCGATCTGCACTGACGTATCGGCTCAGCCCAACTGCGCGGGCTACCATTGGCCTCCTTCGGACCGGCGCAACATCGACCGGGTCCTGTGGGAAGACCTGTGGATCTAAAAGCAAGGGGCCGATTGCATTCGCCTCGGATTGGGTTGATAGGGATTGGCTTTGAAGGTTGGGGTGAAGGATTTTTACAGCCCGTAGACCCCGGTTGAACCATCAGTTCCAACATGCCGCTGGCTTCGCAATTGGGGGTTGAGGAGTCCTCAGCACCCCCACTCGAGCACTTGCACTTAGCGGGCGAGGTTGGGGGGAACGATGCGAAGGATTGAACAAGCAATTGAGGTACCAAAAGCTAGGCTAAGGCCATTGCACCATCGCTGCCCATCCCCGCTAAGGCTTCCGGTTCTAGTGGTTTAGTTGCGCCGAGTCCGGTCGAGTTTGGATTGCCACCGTAGCAATGCAGCCGTGTAACATCTTCACGGGTCGATTGCATTCCGCAACACCTGATCTCTCTCCTCCTCCTCCTCCTCCTCCTCCTCCTCCTCCTCCGCCTCCGCCTCCGCCTCCTCCTCCTCCTCCTCCTCCACCTCCCGTGTCACGGAAGCTCAAGCCTCAAGTCTTCGATATCGCCGATGAGGATTACTTTGATGAGGGCGGGGAAGACTTCGAGGATGATCCAATCGTCCCCGTAGTCACGTAGTCCTGAAGATGACAAGGACTACGATGCTAGAGTGTACAAGTACAAAGACCTCAAGGACATCAAGTCCCACAAATCCCGGTTTCGAGCATTGAGTTCAGGGCGTATCGCAACTCGGTGCTGACAAAGATTGCGTCAATAGGTTGCAGTGGCAAAGCCATTCTATTGAAGTGGCTCCAGAAAAGCCTAGACCCTTCAGGTAGCATCGCACCAACCCGATCCCTCCAAAGGACTGCCAGGGTTTGCCGAGGCTTGATGGCTGGCTTTCCGCTTGTATTAGTGATGCGAAACACCTAAAAGGTGAGTGGGGTTTGCAAGCTCAGTCGTACCTAAAACGGTGTCACGCGGCTGGAACGATGCCATCAGGTCGTGCACTTCTGTCCATCCCTAGCAGAAGGTATCGGGTAGATCAAGTGCGAGGCCCTTCGGTGACTTTGCAATCTCTCTTCGACTTACAGCCCGAATCGTACTCATACCAATCCATGGTTACCTTTCAAGCGGCGGGTTGAGTATGTCCTTAACGGGTTGCTCGAAAGGCTGAGGCGATGTTCAGTTGGGTTTCTTCTCGATTGAAGGGATGCAGAATGCTATCTCGGATTATCGATCGTGTCAAGGATTCCAAGCCGGGTTCAAGGCGAAGGACTTTTGAACACATGTGGAGTGGTCTTGAGGATGTCCTTGCAGAAGTGCGTGAGGATCGGAACGAGCAGGCGCTCAAGGATTCACTCAAGGAGGATTCCAAACAAGAAGCCGAAACTAGATGCGAAAGCAGCCACAGCTAAGGCGACGCCCGCTGCTCCTGCTGCAAAGGCAAATGCAAAGGCCGAGGCCAAAGGCCAAGGCAGTGACAAATCCACGGCAGCTCCAGAAGTCCCCGATGCCAACAATCGCGGCGGCGCTGAGGGTGCCAACAAGGACAAAGGCAGAGGTAGGTAAACGGAAAGGCAGGGGTACGGATGGCAAAGCGAAGGCTCAGAAACCTCCAGTTCCAAAGGATACATCCGGTCAAAGACCAGCGTGCTTCTGTATTTAAAAGGGACATGCGCTAGGGGTAAAGATTGTCCGTTGAACATGTAGATGCACCAAAGAAAGCTGCTCCATCAAAGGCCACGGGGTGGCGGTTCGATAGCGGCCCATCGTCCTTTAGAGAGGTTTACCACATCCTGGACTACGGTCAGCTGAAGAACCGTGAACCCGGGCACGAGAAGGCAATGTTCCCCGCGGTAATCCAATCCTCCCGATGTTTACTGCTGCAGAATCTGCGTTGTCTGGAATCGCGCAATCCGAGTACGCAGCCATTGATTTCCTTGACGTGCCGTTCAGCATTGTGGCGCCGTCAGCACCGGTAGCCAAGCGCCACGAATACATCACGTTGGATAGGCCAGGCTTATGCGGCTAGGCGCAACTCCAGGTTGTACGGCATGCAACTGCGATGCAGTTGCACACACGCCAATTTGTAAAGCAAGGTTCGATGGCCTAATCAAGGCAGAGAAGATTGCAGCGAGCTAGTCAGTCAGAGACGCAGCACCTCGCGATGTTGAGCGCCCTGATCCTCCGTCGGAGTCTGCTTCGGCAGCCCACGAAGGCGATGTGGAAGCTCCAGAGCGCGCGAGCTCCTCTGCTGGCCCAATCGCTCCAGCTGGTGTTGTAGTCCAAACTTCAGAAAGCAAAACTTCGGCAGACGAGCTTGGCTTGAGTGCAAAGTTTCTGGCAAACGAGAGAGCGCGGAATAGTGCCCAAAGGGTCAAGGGACTTCCAGAAAAAAACGTCTTGATCGAGTGTGGCTGTGATTAAGACG